TGATGATAATGACGACGACGTGAAATGTAAAAAAATAAAAAAATAGTTTTTAAGTTTTAAAAATCAATTTCGTGTATTTAGTTGTTTTTGCTGTTGTTTGTTGTTGTTGTGAATGCGATGGAGGATGTTAAAATAAAGTTTAAAGCCTTTTTATTTTTTTTCTTTAAGCTTTTCCCTCCCTCCTCCTTGTGCAATGAAGAATAAATAATAAAATAAAAGCTTTATTTGTTATATAGGCTTTTACAAAAATTCTCATGAGAACATTGGGAAAATTTTAAAACCGAATTTTCTTGGGAATTTTTCCGTTTCTTTCTTTTCTTTATTCTGAGGCTTTTTTTCTGCAAAAAAAGAGAGAAAGAGAGATAGAGGGGGAGAGAGAGGGAGGAACAATTGGAAAAATTATTTAAATTAAATTATTTAAAATGCGCTTGATTTTTGATCAAAAAAAAAAAAAAACTTAGTTAAAAATTGTATGAGGTACTCTCTTAAATTTTAATTATTATTATTATTATTATTATTATTATGTTTTTTACGAAAAAAAAAAACATTTTTGATGGCTGTTGATGCTTCAACCTCTCATAAATATTCATCGTAAATATTTAAAAAAAAAATCGTTTTTTTTAAGAAAAGAAAAGAGAAATTTTAGAGAGGGAGGAAAAAAGGGGACGAAACGGGGAACGGCGGGGGGTGGTGATGGTAAAAGAATAAAAAAGAAGTTAAATAAAAAGTTTGTTTCAAAAAAAAAAAAACGGTTAACGACTTCACTGGGTAAGAATTTTTAAGAGTTTTCTTTTTCTTTGAAATAAAAACGATCAATTTTCTTTTTTTTCTGTATAAAATTTGCGGTTCATTAAATTTTCTCAAGAAGGAAGGTTAAAAAGTTATTAATCAAAAAGGTGATCATCAAGTTTTTAAAAAAAAATTTTTTTTTCCCTTTTAATTAATAATTAAATTAAATTAATAATTTTTTCCGGGGGGAGGGGAAGGGGTAACAAAAGAAAAGTAAATGAATTGTAAACCTTTTTGAAT